CCAGATGAGGTATTAGCTGTGGTGCGTGTTTCAGTGATTTTCTTAATTTCGGGATACAAGGAGCATAAGATATTCTGAGAAACCTCTTTGATATCTGAATCTACCATGAGGTGTAGTTGTTGTAACTCATCACTTCTGTGCATATTGAAGCTCAATGCTGCCCTCTTCTGKACATCAAGTGAGTCAGAAGGAAGTAACATTTTAACATTTTGTACTCATGAATCATCAGAATAATCATGGACTAGAAGGTCTGAAAAGACCATGACTGTGACATTTTCACCATGATTYAACTATGTTAACAAGGTTTCCTACTAATCTTAAAATAATCGAAGATGAGCAYGTTTATTCTTAACTTTTTCATGGCACGGGGGCCTTGATTGGATCACAGTTATGGGATTGAAAGCTTTTATTCATAGAAATGCAGAATAAAAAAACCAATGTGAAAAGCATCGTATTTAAAACAGCATGAAATATTTGAAGTATATGTGAAAATAAAGATAAAGTAACAAAGTCCAATAGTCACTTAGGGTAKACTGAGTACAGTTGAGACAGTTTTTGCTTTTCCCGTTTCCACATTTTTTTAGTTAGACACTAAAAACACACTGAAAAGAATACATATTTTTACATAACATATATTTATATGTTAAATAAAATATAGCCAAGAAATAATAACTCTAAGTTGTATATATTTTTCACAATTAATCAAAACAAAAAGTTGTTTTTGCCTAAATTGTACTCATATAAAAAACTTAAGGGTGCAGCCGAGACACCATTCAAAATGCTGGAAAGCTAACAAGTCAATCATTGCCAATGTAATAAACTGTATATAAAATTAATGATCAGTGTTATACACTTCAGTAATGCATTTCTTTCATTTGCATTGACTCTAGAATAGGTTCAAAGTTAAAAACAGCARAACAAATTTAAYATTTAACAGATACATAATCGTTTGTTGATTGTTAATATACTTTTGCRGTATACTGGTGTTACTAAATGTTCTACAGTTCACAAGAATRGTTTGCATTCAAATAATAGCTTATAATACTCTATTAAATTCAAATGAWTGAATGAACATACTTAAACTATTGCTGCTTAACACCATGCGAATCAACGTCAGGTACTGTGTCTCAACTGAACCCCGGTGACCATGTTGCACATTTCACTGGATTATGTAATGTTCTTTGATGCCATGATGTCATGAAATATGTTGTCTTTTAGGGGACAAAATAATGTTTGCATATATTCAAGTTACATTTAGATGTCATATAAGGGTAATAAGATATTTACTGTGGACAGGACATAATAAAGTTCAAATCTAGCCTGTCAAAAATTACGTTTGTCAATATCTTTGGAGTTGCGCTTTTCATAAAGTTCAAATTTTCCACTATCGAAGAGGACACTCATACTCATGCGCACAGCAAATATCACAACTAAGACTTGCTGCAAACAGAAAATATTGACRGTGTCTCAAATATATACGTCTCAGATGTACTCAGTCTACCCTACTAAATAAAAAATACATCCTTAAGTTGTTTGTGCTTTTGCCAAATGGAGTTTTTCCTCTTACTTAAGAGTCTAAATGTGTAATTTTAGCTTCAATGTGTGGGCTGTATAAGTTTAAAGATGCCACAAAAGTACAAAATATGACAGGAACTCATTCACCACTGAGCCTTTCACTCCCATTCCAAGAAATGCTGTTTCAAAACACCTCTCTGTGTGCTGTAGCTGTTGGTTGTTGACGTTACTTCCAGGCTTTTCTTATAATCTGCTAATAAGCTTGAGCAACATCTCTTAAATCGTCACCAGCCCACATCTGTAATGCGTAGGAGGARTCTCTTCACAGATTTAGGAGTTTCTCAGGTTTGTTTTGACCCGAGGGAAGATTTTTCCTGACTGAATTGAAATCGCTCTCACCAAAAACTGGGGGGGAAAGGAGAAAAGTTTGGAGCGGATTCTCTGTCTCATTTCTTGCAAATTAAGAATGATCTTTGATCTTTAGAGTTAAAGCTGGTTTTCATAGTTACTTGACAGGATTTAGCTGCAAATACAACTTTATAAAGTGGTATCAAGGCAACCTAAAAAAGGAAACTGGCAATGTTCCTCATTTTTTWATCTAACCTATAGTGTTCCTCTTTAGTTGTTTTGGTAAAACAGCACCTGCGTTACTCRAACTATGTTTCCTTTGAACATGTGGAGTAAAATAAGTGACAGTTGGATGATAATGTGTTTCTTTGTTCCATTTATTTATTTCTTTTTGCTCATTTTTTAAAGTCAGAGGTCACATTCAGTTAAACGTGAACACAATCTGTCAAGCTGAAGACAAACAGGCTTAAATACAGTCAAACTTGTGATGAGCTTCTTTCTATTTGTCTTTTCAAAAGATTTGTTGTTTTCATTGAATGATTAATAGTTTGCCTGATCATTTTTTATAAGAAAATGTTTCTTTTTAACGCCACTCCAAACTGTATAATTTGGCCATAAAAAGGCTCCTAAAATTAAAAAAAGGTTTAAACAGAGCTGTTTTGACACATAAGCACAACTTAGGAGAAAAAAAAAGCTATGTAAATTGTATCCTCGGGGGTTTCCAGCAGTCTGTCACAAAGACATCATTTGATTCCATTTATCTAATTAAATTCATAAAAAGTACCAAACGTTAGAGTTCTACGTATTTTTGAAACAAATGGAACCCCATAAGATAACACAATTTGGCATTACAATATTTTAGCATCAACAGCATGATTCTCAAAAAGTAGGCTGAAAACTTGACATCCAGATGTTCAGCTGAAGAACGATGCATCACTCAGGCCTCGTGTCTAATCTTTGCTGGATTATTTTTTTGACAGTCTTAGATAATGCACAACTAATACCYTATCAAATTTAATTTATACCCATTTTTATTTCAGTTAATGTGGCTCAGATATTATGGTAATCTACAAATGAAAAGATTGCAAAGATTAAGCACTTTTTGATTAGTATTTCAAAGGTTTACTTTCTGCTGTAGTTGATCCTCTTGCTTGAATAAACAATCTTTGTTAGCCGGACGTCAAGCGTTAAGCTCCTCCTCCTTATGCAAAACGTCCTCGGTATCCGGAAATTAACAATCCCGTGACGTTAGAGGAATGTTAGCACAGCATCGGAATGACTACAGTGCCTTTCTGTGTTTGGTTTTWAAAACTTTTTACAGCTGTCTGTCGCTGTCAGCTAACAGTTTAGCTCCCCTGTCGTCTTACGAACATGGAGCTAGCAGAGCCAAAGAGGCTGTCGGTGGATGTATTCCTCCGCTCGGACCTTTGCAGCGGGATGAATTCTTCCTCGGGACCCTAACGGAACCGTGGAGTCAGATTTATGGGACGAACAAGCTAGCAGGCTAACCCGAACGTCAAGACGGTGAACAATGTCGCGGTTTGAACTGAAAGAACTGTCCAATTTCAGAGAATACGCGGGCAGCCTCGAGCTGACGGACATATTGACTTCGAGGGACACAAACAGCCTGTCAGATGTCCGTGTAAGCCCGGACGGACGTCACATCCATATCATCCTCCGCGAGCCTAAGGTCGGTCTCATGACTTGTGACAAGTACGAAAGACCCCAGCCGACTCAGAACCACAAGAAACTGGAGTTGTGTTTTCCACGAACGGTTCCGGTCGTGGATCTTTGCTATTTGGACCATTACAACAACAATAACAACTGCAGCAGAGAAGCGGCAGTCGCTGCAGTGATTTATGAGGATGGAAAAGCGGAGTTTTGGATCTTTCAGGAGAGCAAGGCCGGCTGGCGTCTCCTGCAGACATCAGATCTGTGCACCAGCCCCCAGGCCAGAGTCGTGTCTGTCTGCGTTTGCTCCAGTTTTATCCTCTGGTGTGAGGAGCGACCCGCCTCCTCGGAGAGCTCCACGAGCAATAAGTTGGGGTGCTGTGTTTGCAKGCGTGACTTTGAGGTTGAAGAGGGGGCCGTCATCTTGGCTGGGGCGAAAGTCATCCTTCACAGCAGTCCCAGATTCACTGTGATCAGCTCAGGGGATTACGTGCACCTTCTCCCTGACCTGAAAGCGAAGCCAGCGTCGTGCACCTTCAAATTCTTCCTCACCTGGTCCCCTCGTCACGACTCCTTCACAGTCAGCGCCGTTTGCAGGAACACCGCCATCAAGAAGCTTTCAGCCAAAGAGTCTGACTTTAGGAAACTGATCACTGATTGTTTAGGGTATTTATCAGCTCTGGAGCCGCCTGAGATCTACGGTTTTTCGCCTACTGGCTGCGGAGGCCTGCTGCTTCTCCTCAGCACTGGCTGGCTGTGTCTCCTGCAGAAAGATGGGACGATGAGAAAAGTTTACAAACTGCCCGAGAACGGTTTGGTGCAGCACGGCGCACACACGAACCTTTGCGTTTAYGTGAACGTTGTGGCGCTGGTAATAGGGCCAAACCTGCATCTGATAGAGTTGAGTTGTGGCAGAGAACTGCAAAAGATTGTGTTGAAGAGTGGCGGGTTGTTGTATGTGAACCAGACCGAAAGGCGCACTCCACATCTGCTCTCAGAAGCTGGACTGTTTGTGGTGGAGGACAGAAAAACAGACGCTGCAGACTGCAGCTTTAAAACGAGCCCTCCTGGTTTTGGCACGGTCGAGGGCGTTCATCCCGGAGCCCTCCTCGTAGAGGCCGTTTTCGAGGAGGCTTGTAAATACTACCAGCAGAGGAGCCTGAGCAGCACCCAGCTCACCGTGGACACGTTAAAAAAAGGGGGAAGGTTCCAGGCTCCCATCTCCTTAGCCTCCATCCTCAGGAGCTTCCTCGGCGCCGGCTTGAAGAAGAAGGGTGCCMAGCCGTTGCAGAACGGAGGAGGCGAGTTCGTCGCGGGGCAGGACAAGCTCATGGCTTCRCTGGAGGGTGAGCTCAAGGCCCTGGTGTCTCTGGAGGAGCTGAAGGGGGGTTTGGTGAGGGGCGGTCCTAAGGAGGTGGAGGCGGTGTGCGAGACTCTGATGGAGAAAGAAGTGACGAGGCTGCTGTCGGCGTCYGAGCTGGATAGAGAGGCTCTGCTGTACCTGAACTCCATCTTCAGCGTCTTCCCCCGGCAGGCGTGGCGGGCTGCCCAGGCTGCGCTTCAGCTGCACCGCAACGGGGAGGGGTCTCTGTCCAGCAGGGCTCCCCCTGACGTGTGGAAGGCTGTCCTCAGTCACRCTCAGCCGTCCACCCCTGCAGCCTCCCTTTTGTTTCAGAACGGGCAGCCGAAACACAACAGCCTTAAAGGTGGTCACAGTTATAAAGGCAGACCCCCCTCCTCCCCCTCCCCACCCGTCCTGCCGGTGTTTGAGCTCCTCTGTCATTCGGTCCTCCACTTCCAGCCCACGTGGCTCCCCCGCTTCATCGAGCTCGCCCAGCAGCAGCAGGGCTCCGTGGGTTTGGGTCTGGGCCTCGCCTCGTCCTCCTGGAGTTTCTCCGGCGGCCGAGGAGCGGAGGGCGGCGAGAACAACGTGCCCCTCTACAAACGAGCGCTGCGCGTCCTGGCCGCCGCAAACCCGGACGGGGGCCGGCGCCCGGACCTGGAGGTGGAGCTGCTGCTGGTGGGCGGGCGGCCCAACGCCGTCCTGCAGGCTCTGCGGATCCTCATGGGCGAGGGCCAGTGGGGGCGGGTCACCCAGGTGGCCCAGCAGTTCTGCAAACAGAGCCCGCTGCTCAACAAGGAGATTTTCACCACGCTGCTCTGCGAGGCGGCGCAGCGCCGAGACCTGGACCCTCACCTGGACCTGCTGTGGACCCTGTGCCCCGAAGACTTCACCGTCACCACCATCCTGAACTTGGTGCTGAAAAGCCTTCCCGCTCCCGACGCCTCCGCCCAGCCCTCTGCTTTCACAAACCCCTCCTCCTCGCCTCCTTTTGTGGACCCTCACAGCAGCAGCCAGTTGACCGTAGGGCTGCTGAAGCCCCTGCTGAGAAAAGTCCTCCAGAGCGAGACGAAGCCGAGTCAGCGTTACGTCGACATCCTGCAATCCCCGTCGTACCCACCTCCGGCTCTTCCTCGCCAACCCACGGAGCAGGTGAGCTCTGCCACAGACTCGGCTTCGTGCAGCAGCAGCAGCACCGCCGCTCCTCGCACAGAAACACCTGAGCAGCAACCGTCCACGCACGCAACCATTCAAAGGTGCAGCATCGCACTCTCTGCTGCGCCGCTTGGATTTACTGACAGCTGAACGACTCGTACGCCACATTCCACACACAAGCTTTACTAAACGTGTCGACAGTCAGAGAAAAACACAAGTCTGTGAAAGGTTTCCTGAATGTAATAATTAACTGATAGTGTGTATTTGAAGGTATTGTCAGAAGAAATATGACTACTAGTAAGTATAAAATGACTACTGAACATATAAAGTAAATATATGGCAGGTCATTTTTAAATCTGATTTATGTGTATGCTGTATCCAGTTGTATTTATCTCTTAAAGGTACTCCTTGTACGGTCCRAAAACAAAATCCACACAATTTGTTTCTAATATAATGTGTTCTTAAATTAAATGTTTGTAAGCTAAATTTATGACCAGCTGCCAAATACCATGTGTGTATTTACCTACGAAAAGAGCCAAAGTGACTCAAAAAACACATTAATAGCAATGTTGGTGGAAGAGGTGTCTGGGATGGAGTTAATTTTTTTTCATATTTGAATGTATTTACCCTCAAATTTGTTGAGTAAAGTATACAATCTTCCGTATAGTCTTGGACAAATTCAGCTGAGTTTGTTTACCTCGAGTGCGTACCCGCATTTTAGAATTTCATATCGATATATCTGGAAAACTACTGGAGTTAACTCAGACTGCATCATTAAATATAGCCAAGGAAGTTATTGTTGCAATGAGTACCTATAAGTGCATGCGATGACAATGTTATATTTAGTGACCTTAACCCCCAACAAGAATRAATAAGTAACGGTTTTGTTTATTATACTGTTTTAAAACCGTAAAAGCCACTAAATTTTATTCCATGTTTTTCTCATCATAAGAAATGGCTGTAAAATCTTTTAAATGAATGTGGATGAATATACTCCTGTGTTGAGTAACTGAATATATATTTGAAGTGCTGCTTGCTGGGAAACAAAGCTACTGATGTATAGTTTATCATTGTGCTTTGCTGAGAAAAGAAAAGAAATTAACATGTTTATGATTGTATTTGAGTTCTTTAACTTTCTCTTGTGCTTTCATGCAGTCATTGAGAGAATTCAGAAAAGCTGGTCTTTGTTTTTGCTTTGTGTTGTTTTTTGTTTTTTTTTAGCGTGGGATCAAGGTTCCTTTGCTGACTTTTAGTTTCACACTAAGGACCCCAAATGTGCTTGACCTTCAACCTTGTTTTGATTGACTCSGTTTAACAATTTAATCTCTGTAAACTGGACCTGCAACAGTTGAAATGTCATGTTTTTTTTAATATAACTCCCATTATCTGTTCCCTCTCAGCCCAACTGGCAGGGACATTCCAGGAAAAAATTCCCAGTGAAAGTGGCAAATTTAATTTAGCTTCTAATCTGTTCAGGATTTTATGCATGAGACATATTATGGCTAACCCAAGCACCCTGCTGATTGTATAAAGTCACCATTCATCCCGTTCCCCCACCCACCACCACCACCTTCATGGACTTGAATGTTATTAGAGATGACAAGCCTTCTGTTTTCCTGCTTCTGCACTTTTATATGGAAGCTGTCAGTATTGTTTGAACCACACTTTAGATTTCTTCCACAGGTTTTAAGTGCTGTAAGCAACAAAAGTACGCCGAAGTGCCTTTTGTGTTTGGTTTTGTTCATGTCAACTGATCTGGAGAAGTAATTGATTACTTTGTTTTTATTGGGGAAAAAAATCTCCAAAATGATTTCAGATCTCTACGTTGTCGAGGTTTACAAAACCTCTTTTTTTAAATGCAAGGTGACAGAGTCCAAAATGCTGCAGAACTGTGTCTCTGACCTTCGCCGRCAGGGTTGTCGCATTTCTCCTCACCGTTCCTGTCGTTGCAAAGTGTGTTTTTAAGCTATCTCTTAGTGTGTGAAGCATTTTTATCTTCACAGTTAATTGGGGTTTTAAATTTAAAAAAGAAACTCATTGATGCCATCTTAAGTTGCGTGCTCAGAGCAAGCATGGCCAAACCTGCTCAGCTGGGTTCAGTTACTTTCACTGTGTGCTGAAATTGACTGGGAACCCCCTGACTGCCTCATACAGGTCACTCAGGCTAACCGTCTGACTGTTAAACATTAATCTGCCTTAAATGTCGCTGCAGTACATATTGTAATTTTGTTTACTTTTTGGCAATGCTTAATGCAGTATTTTGAAAGAAAACTATGGAAGTATTTATGTGCAAATGCATGCTATTAAACTAAAGATTAAACCTCTTTTAGCTGTCTGGATTCTTGATGTGCTGTGCTGGATTTGTCTGTAAAGTTATCATTTTGATGTTAGACTTAAGTTTTGGTGCTAAAAGGTGATTGGTTATAATTATGTCCCTGTTAGGAAGTAAACATAGGTGATCTAAATGTCATCATGCATCTCAATAATTAATGTGATCTTAAAGTTTTTGTTTAGTAAATTTATTCATTTTCATTTAAAAACAAAAATACATACAACAAATAATATAAATCACAAATTAAACAAAAGGTAGCAGAAAGAAGAAAAAAATCGCATCAACATTTTTCCAAAAATAAAAATAAATTCAAACAATTATAATCTTCAAATAACAAAACATAACAAAAAATATCAACTCCTTCTTGAACAACAGTTCTTATAAATGCACATTATACAAATTCATATTTCTTCAACAATCAAACTTTTATCATTCTCTTAAGTTTATTGAGCCAGCAGCATTTTTATGATCAATTTCCAGATTATTCCACAGTCTTATTCCTTGGACTGAAGTACATCTGTCCTTCAAAGTTGTTCAAACTTTAAGCTTTACAAACATCTCTAGTCCCTTAAGATTGCAATTACTCTTAAAATTTAATTGGATATTTAAAGGTAATAAATTTTTATGAACCTTATACATAATCTGCAAAATATCATAATCAACCAATTCATAAAATTTCATTAATTTCAACTGATAAAACAATATATTTGATGGGTGACTGTAAWTGTTAATTGTCAGCTTGCACAGCCCTACTGACGTGTCACCGACATTTATTTGCCAAGTTCTCGTTCCCGTGCACTGACTGGAGTGTTTCTGATTTGTTCTGTCCCTGCTGGTTTCTTTCACCTCGCTGCACAAGTTGACAACACAAAGCTCATCTTACAACAAATGGCAATCATGTGCTCACATTTTTACAATCTGTTCAAGACGGAAGCCAAATTTTGCACCAACATTTTGCAAGTATTTTTCACTATTAAAAGCAMTTTTATTTCTGTGTGTACTCTAATGTAAAAATGTATTCAGTTTTTACACTCCCAGCCCTTTTAATAGAGAAACGTCAGGTGTGGTGCACATCTTGCCACCTCAGCAGAGGGAAGCAGAATCAGATTTACCTCAGAGGGAGGTGCTGAAACTTGCTGAACCGGATACCTTTCACTTTCATTTCATTCACCTTATTTTATTTATGTATTTCTTTTTCCTTCTTATCAATTCTCCCAGCACCTCCTATTGCCAGATTTCAGGTGAGGCCAGTGCTGCCAACGCCATCGATTCACTTGCTCCAATTACAACCACTGGCAAAAAGTATGGAATCACCAGTCTTGGATGAGCACTCATTCAGACATTTCATTCTGTAAAACAAACTCAGATCAAAAACATGATACAATAATAAGGTCATTCCAAAGTGCAACTTGTTGGCTTTCAGGAACACTCAAAGAAATGAAGAGAAAACATTGTGGAAGTCAATGAATCTTACTTTTACTGACCAAGCACAAGGGAAACAAATATGGAATCACTCCATTCTGACAAAAAAAGTATGTAATCATGAAAAACAGATAAACAAAAGACCATTCAAAATACATCACTGGTATTTAGTTGCACCACCTTTGGCTTTTATAACAGCTTGCAGTCTCTGAGGCATAGATTTGATGAGTGACAAACAGTATTCTTCATCAATTTGGTACCAACTGTCTTTGATAGCAGTTGCCAGATCAGCTTTGCAGCTCGGAGCCTTCTTGTGGACCTTTTTTTAATTTCCACCAAAGGTTTTCAATTGGGTTGAAATCTGGACTATTTGCAGGCCATGACATCGACTGAATGTGTCTTTCTCCAAGGAATGCCTTCACAGTTGTTTGTCCTATGGCACGATGCATTGTCATCTTGGAAAATTATTTCATCACCTCCAAACATTTGTTCAGTTGAAGGGATGAGAAAACTGTCCAAAATGTCAATGTAAACTTGTGCATTGATAGAATAATGAACCACAGTCATCTCCCCAGTGTCTTTGCCTGACATGCAGCCCCATATCATCAAGGACTGTGGAAATTTGGTTGTTTTCTTCAGGCAGTCCTCCGTAAATCTCACTGGAACGGCACCAAACAAAAGTTCCAGCATCATCACCTTGTCCAATGCAGATTCTTGACTCATCACTGAAGATAACTTTCATCCACTCATCCACAGTCCATGATTGCCTCTCCGTAACCCATTGCAGTCTTGTTCTTTTTTGTTTAGGTGTCAATGACGGTTTTCTTTTAGCTTTCCTGTATTGAAATCCCATTTCCTTTAGGCCATTTCTTACGGTTTGGTCATATACCTTGGCTACTGCTTCCTCCCATTTATGCTTTATCTGTTTAGTTGTACTTTTTCTGTTTTCTATACAAATGGCCTTAAGTTGTTTGTCTTGATGCTTTGATGTCTTTCTTGGTCTACCAGTACACTTGGCTTTAACAACCATTCCATGCTGTTTGTATTTGGACCATATCTTGGATACAGCTGACTGTGAACAGCCCACATTTTTAGCAACCATGCGTGAAGACTTACCTTCTTCAAGAAGTTTCACAATCCTCTCTTTTGTTTCAAGAGACATTTCTCTTGTTGGAGCCATGGTTCTTGCTGCTCCACTTCGTCCAGCAGCCCTCCAAGGTGTCATGACTGCAGGTGTTTTTAACYGCAGACCAACGAGCAGATCTAATCTGAGACAGGTGTCCATTTAGGGAAAGGAAATTGACTGGGTGTGTCCTTATTTTCTACCTCCAATTTGAGTGATTCTATACTTTTTTCCTCATAAGTGAGTGATTCCATATTTTTTCCCCTGTGCTTGGTCAATAAAAGTAAGATTCATTGACTTTCACAATGTTTTCTCTTCATTTCTTTGAGTGTTCCTGAAAGCCAACAAGTTGCACTAAGGAATGACCTTATTATTTTATCATAATTTTGATCTGAGTTTGTTTTACAGAATGAAATGTCTGAAGGAGTTCTCATCCAAGACTGGTGATTCCATACTTTTTGCCAGGGGTTGTACTGTAAATCTGGCGCCGTTGGTTCCTGCCGCTTGTGTCCTCTGCTCGGCTGGAGACTCCTGCAGAGCAGCCACAAAATAACACACGGCCCTGAAAAGATGTGAAACACTCGCAGGAGCCTGAATACTTTCAGCGAAGGTGATGAATTTTAAACGTATGCGTTAACTCGCTTTACAGATTTAATGCTGCTCCTGGATTGTTTTCCCCTTCGTGGATCAGCWGCTTCAAATTGAGTTTGGACTTTCTTCCAAAACGTTATTTTATTTGCATGTTGACTGGCAGAGGATTATTTGTGCAAACTGGTTTAGGACAAGTGATGACAAATGCACTGTTGAAGACACTGCTTTGGAGTGTGGCAGCTTTATTATTGGACAACATGTAGGAACTGCTGCTTGTCAGTTACTGGGCCTAGACAAAATAAATCAGCACATATTTTTATTATTCATTCATAGTACACTGCATTGCTTTAAGATTTAAAGTGGCTGTGTGCTGGTCACTTTAAATTTGGGAACAATTTATTACAAAGCACAAATAAAAATTGTTTTATTGTTTTGTAAGGATAAAAGTGACACGACAGCAGCTTGGCAAGGAACAGAGGACCAACTGAACTTTTAATAAGTTACCTTTTTTAGTTCACAGTATGGGTAAAAACTGACAGAAATGTTTCAAACCCTTTAACTCCCATTTCATAAACAAACAAGGTAAAGTGCTCAGTAACAAGAAAACAATCTACTCAGTCATACAAAGTATTACAAAAATACTATCATTACTTATTCACAATGAGTAAAGGCAGAATAATTTTAAGTGATTAAAAAAATTGTGGCAAACAATTCTTAAAAAGTCGTTGAGAGACAAACCAGTGTGTTTTGAACATTTTAGGAAACTGTGGTACTCAGTATTAGTGCAAATCAAAATGACCAACAGAACAGAAACATTCCCTTACAAAGAAAGCTTCAGTGTTCATACAGATGTATAAACATAAAGCATATCAACAGCAAACATTAAATGGATTAGGATACTATAAAAAATGTTTATGACCATTTTTCCCCTGAGGTTACTTTAAAAAGGCTAAATGTGCAGTTTGAAATATTTTGTATAAAAATATTCATTTCCTTCTTCACTTGAGGAGAAAAACTAATAACAATAAAAAAAACTATGTAAGTATTTTCTCTACCATTTTGCATCACATAAGCTCCATGGGCTTTTATTTTGTAATGTGATGGACCATTTGGGCCTGCGGCTGGTTCACCTCTCAAGTGATTTTCACTTGAGCTCGAGGGATGTGGGTCATGATGAGATTGCTGCAAGCAGAAAAAAAAAATCCACTTCAGTCACGTTATTGTTGCACAACTTATAGATTTTTTCCCCCCTTTATTTTTCTACTTACTCATCATAGCAATCTGAGTATTTCATTCTCCTGTAGTATTTGGCAAGTTTGATAGAAAAGATTATGCTGGGAATGAAGAACATCAGGCACCAGCCCAGACTGAACCAGAAGGCATTCTTCAAATGAGCAGAAAATAAAAATAATGAGGAAAAAGTAAATACATTGAAACAGATTTTTAAAAAGCCTAGCATTTCTTAAAGGAGCGCTTGTCGCCCTCTGGTTTACGTGCCAATTTTGAACTTAAAACGTAGAGATGTATGCCTGCATTCGCCTTATAGCAGCACGGCAATAAAAAAAATTTAATAAAAATTAAAAAAAGGTCTTTTGCTCTCCAGACTAGATGTCAAAAAGAACCGAGCAGAGCTGAAGGTTTGATCTGATTCTCACCAGAGGCTCCATCATGTTGGAGCAGAAGATGACCTCAGCAGAATCCACGGCTCCAGCMACAGGCCCACAGTGCCCAATATGCTGCGTGATCTGAGGAAAAAGAAATGCACGCATCACTGCAAAACTATAAACAAACATTTATTTGTCAAAAGCGCAGAAATAAATTCCTGAACAGTTTTTACCGTGATTTTGGCCCAGTCAGCAAAAGCAGTGAAGTATGCCACCTGACAATCTAAAAACTTCCTGCTTTCCTACAATTAACAGAAAAGAAAATGTTAAATTTACTCTGTTTATTCCCCTCAAATTTTCAATTGTTTAAAGTCATATAAAACCACATCCAAAATGACATTTTTGCTCAAAATTCCAAACACCATCATGTTAGTGATGCTCTTCTGGCTTGATTATTTTAGCTTCTTGCTGCTGTATGTTTAAAGTGAACAAAAAGGTAGAACTTGTGGCACTAACTTTTGGAGTTTAATTTATATGAAACCCTTAAAGTGCCGGTGACATCATATTTTTATAATAAATATGAAGGCATTTTTGAAAAGATGACCTTGATAACATATTGCAAACAAAACATTCATGTCGCCGAGATGATATTTGCACGTGACAAAACAGGATGTGATGTCAAAGGGGAATGTCTGCATGTGAACAGAGCCCTGATACAACAGCTAACAAAGACAGTAAAGAAGAATCTGATGTTTCTTCAGATCATTTTGAGTCACTATCAAAGAGAAATGAAGAAACACCAGAGTTTAAATAATATTGTTTTAATTAACAAAGATCAGGAAGTTTTCTTTCTTAAATAGTTCCCCTTTGAAGTCACTTCCTGTTGCATTTTGGCTGAACCAAATATTAAAAAAACAACATGTCAGTTGTGTGATGAGATGGGTAAAATTGTGTTTATTATGTCAAGTTTCCTAATCGTATTATGTATTTTCAAGGCACCTAGTCCAATTCTGTATCACAATTGCTTACTTTCAGATGTTCTGAAAAGCTGTATAAATCAAAAATAAATCTGACTTTGCATCATAGTCCATCTAAGCACCTTAAAATTGGCCTCTGTCTCTTTAGAACCTCCTACCGTTTCAGACACTCCCACTTCAGCAAGGCTTCACATCAATGCTTCAGAAGAGGGCTGCTCTGTGGGGCGGGAGCTCGGCTGCAGACTGCACTCCAGGGGAGGAGCTTTGTGTAAATAGGCGGTGCTTTGTACCAGCAAGATTCAAGGATTTCTCAAACATGAATGAGTCTAAGCAACACTGGGTACGTTTTTGATGAAGGAATGACATTATAACATAATATAAAGCTACAAAAGGTCAATTTTGCATAATACCCCACCACCCTTTAAATATGGAGGTTTTCTTAAATTTTTTTGTATTTGATATGCATGTCACAGGCACTTTAACTAAAAATAAAAGTAAAAATAATAATTATTATTATTATATACAGTATGTGGGAATCTTTTACTCTCTCTTTCATTCATACAGTGGTTTGCAAAAGTATTCATACCCCTTGAACTTTTCCATATTTTGTCACATTACAACCACAAACNTTCAAGACACTAACTGTACTTCATACTCTGTGGATGTGGAACCAATGAGCCCACTGTTCCTACTACACACCCCTTCCATGTAGCCCCCCCTCCCGTTTTGCCCCCACTCACTAAACGAGTAAGCGACCTCGGGCATTAACAGACCACATGGAGCACATTTCTTCAGACTCATGTGACTCATGCCTCTACTCACAGTCTTTACGATCTGGGACGTATTTGTGTTGAGCAAGTCTTGTGCTGCTCCAACGCTGCTCAGCACCTCCCCCACTGATCCCTGAAAGAACAAACAATTTTTTTTATATATAAAAACTGACCTCTGCTCTTTGCATCTCCAGGTTTTAGCCGGTGCACTCACATCGACTTGTTTTGCTGTAGACTGAAGGCTGTTGATAGATGAATTCAGGTTTTTCTTTGAGGGGGGGRAAAAAAACAGTGAACGTCTTGTTAGGTTTAAATGAAAAGCTCTCAAGTTTGATGCATGAGTAAAAATGAGAAGAAACGTTTGCATAGATGAAGCGACGACTCACCACTTGGGGAAAGATAACTACTTCAATGTCGGCTTGGATCTGCTTCAGTTTCATAGCTTCATTTTGGAGTTCTGTTTTAATGCTTGCATCGGGCTGAAAATAGGCAAAAAAATAAATAAATCGGTTAATAAAAAACTAATTTCAAAGTACAATAAAATATTTATGTTTATGTTTTATGACTCACCTGATAATTACTTAAGTTTAAAAGTTTATCTGCTGTTGTATTTAGATTGATGCTGAGAATGTTGTTCATCTGAAAAAAAAGGAAAACAAAAGATGTTTTTTTCATGTAACATAGAAATTCAGTACATGTAATGAAAGTGAGGCCTACCTGCTGTGTGGCACCAGTGGTGTTCACATTCTTTAAGTTGGCAGAAATATTTCCAATCTGACTTTTCACTTCAGGGCTCAGGAGAGTGATGGTGGGCAGGGTGATGTTTGTTTTGTCGAACTCCGCCTGGATCTGTGCGGTGTACTGCGATCGACACGGAAGAGTTCAGGAAGGAAGAGAAGCATGTTCACGTGGTTCTTTTCTTCATATCTGAAACTAAACGAGTGGCATGCAACATACTTTGGATAYGTTGAGCAAGTCTCCGAGGTCAACGACCTCATTCAGATGAAGCGTCGTCCACAGAGGTTTGTTTTCCTGACAGTCTCTGGAAAGAAAAATATTTTTTTCAGAATTATGTTTTTGATAGTGGTGTTAAATTATATTTTCAGATTTTTCATGGTGCCAGTTACATAACTCTTTTTGCTCTGAAGCCCAAACCAAATCTTGGAAATGGTCTGTTACAAGCGGACATTTGCCACTACCAGCCTTTAAAAACTGTTAGAGGTAAAATGGTCTTACATACCTATAGATATCAGTGATACCAATGGGGGTCTTAAGTCCTAAAGCTTGGCTTATGTTCAACCCCTGAATTACCCCTGTTGAATCAATGATCTGTGGACAGAAAAGACAGCATTTGTGAAACCTTTTCATAGGATTTCATGGATCTATAAATGCACACTGCTAAATAAATTTAAAAATGTAATTATTCTGCTTGTTATGAGGCTTAAAAGACGTTGGACGCATCCTACATGCACTGATAAACTGAAACACTAATAAAAAAGGTACATGACAGGTACAAAGGTTTTAGTGTTCTTAGCTCATTTTTCTTGCATAAAGCTGCAACTGTAAAGACAACAACACATAAAACATGTTTTAATTCTAGTATTACCTGTAGCAGCTGTCCATTGCTCCATGGTCGGCAGACGAGAGTGTAAACGTTTCCACCCAGCAGGAAGAGCAGCAGCACTGCGATCATAAGGATCCAGGAGAAGAGGAAACTGAAACCTGCACCCCTGCAACCACAACCAGGTCAGAGGTCAAAGTCAGGATGTGGAACGGTTTCAACACTGCAGCGATTATTTTTATTTTGTTTGTTTGTTTTCTTGTTCGATAAGCCTGCGCTCACATCAWGAAGAAGACGCCGCCGCAGTCCGCCGTGCATGAGCGACTCGTGGGGTTCACTTTGGGTGAGAGACCCAGGGGGCCCAGAACCAGGCCCAGGAGGTTACACAGGACCACCAGGAGGACGACGCAGCACAGGGTCACACACACACACCATCTAAGGACAGTTCAACCCCAGATTAGAGCTTCTTTTTTTTTTAAACCACGTCTCATGGTTTTAAATGTTTTGAGGCTTTTACCTGATAAACTCTGCGCTTTCTATTTGGGGTGWGTAACTGCTGATGTCACTCTGCACCTGGTTCAGAGTCTTGGACACGTCATTCAGAGCAGAGAGCTGCAGATCTTTGGAAATCTGAGAAATCTGTGTYGTTACGTCACTCAGCTGCTGTTTGCTGTCTAAAAATAAAGCCGTGACAAATTTACTGGCTGTTAAACTTGTTGACTTAATAAAGCATCTGACAGTGAATTTAGTATTTACTCACTTTGGACGATATCTTTGGTCTCGTTGGTCACTCTCTGAGGGATACTGCTGAAATAACTCTCCCCCTGTGAAATCAAAAAACTGTTTTTGAAATGCAGTTAAAACGTCTACGTTATTGAATTAAATGTTTTTTATGTCAACATTGCTTCTATATATAAAAAAATAAAGGCCCAACATTCCAGGAAAGCACATTTCCTGCTGCCTCTTGTGTCACAGTTATATATAAAAACATATGATGGAAAATGACGTTTAGTTTTGGTCAAACCTAGAAAATTATGTTATACACAGCCTCATGGTATAATACAGAATGTTGCGCTCAGAATATGTGCTGTGAGTGACTCAGTTATAAGTACAACAAAATGTACCTCAATATCTATWAAACTGAGCATGTTATTGCCAATTTTGCACTGGTTGATGTTGGTTTGTTGTGGCAGCCATTTTAAACTGAATCATCTCCAAAAGGTAATCGGTTGTTAATGTACATCCAGTGATTACTCAGTGAAAATCTTGTTAAAATGTGTCCAGTGGTTAATGAGAAATTTTGCTAACAGACAACTAAGGTCATTTCAAAAAGTTGATGTTAAAGTTTTAAGCAAATGATTTAAGCACAATGATTTATATTTAAAGTCAATGTTACAAATGAGTCTCAGCCACTACAACACCAAATCTTAGCACATTTGCTGAAAAATTGACCAAATTACGGCCATTTTGAAGTTTTTAAAGCTCAGTTAACTGTGGCAGTTATCTTGATCTGAGATAGTCCCTTAAAGTAATCATTTGCAGAGGAATATCCAGTTATTACTTCCTGCAAATTTCATTAAAATGTATCCAGTGGTTCCTGAGATATTCTGCTAACGGACAAGTAAAAAAACACWAACGGGGCAGAAACAGTATTTTCCACCTTCACCTTCTGGCAGGGAGCGATAAAAAAACAGCTTTGATATTTTCTGATGAAATAGACTATTTCTTCAACTCAGCAAGAAAAAAAATCCTCTATTTCACATTTTTTAGTTTAGTTAGTTTATTAATTTCATTTAAAAACAAAAAACAAAAAAAATGTATACACATTATAAACAAACACACACACACACACACACACGCGCGCACACACACACACACAAAACAAAAAATATACAAATCAAATTGAAATGAAAGGGGGCAGAAAGAAGAAAAAATCTTATATCTGCCCCTTTTTTCCATAATTAATTTAAAGCAATAATTTAATGGCATTTAATGGCATTATCCTCAAGTTGGATCTATTCTGATGTTTACAGTTTGATGTTTTTGGTTCGTTATTCTCACTGACCTCATTTATTTTGGATTCTAGATCCGCTTTGATGACTTCATCAACTGCAGACTGAAACTGATTCAGGCTGGGAATCTGTGGGAAACATGCAAACCGTACTGTTATCGCTCAAAAGCAACAGTAGAGGGAAGCAGAGTGCAACAAATAAGTGCTTCAAATGAATGAGGAAAGATATGTATAATACAAATTACATTTTAGACTAAACTAGGTTTATCTTTTTTAAATTAGAGATGAAAAAAATGCTCCAGAGGAAAGGAATATGTCAAGGATAGAAACAAGTAGGAGGTATAAAGAAAGACACAGACTGAAAGAAGAGAAATTAGCTCTTGTTGAACATCCAAACAAAAAAGGATGAGGAGTCATCATCTGCCGCAATGTCTGAGTGTGCGTCAGAGGGAGTTTGAGTGAATAAACCAGCTTTCCTGTTTACTGATGAAAATGTGCCTGAGAGCTGCTCCTCTCTATCTGTGGGCGAAGCTGACTCATTCCTTCCATAGAACACTTCAGCTCACAAAAGTGGACATTCATTACTCTGGTTTTAGCTGYCTTTGTCATGAAGCCACTCAGGAGGGGAAAAGGAAAGAAAATGCACAGAWTTGGTACTTACAGAGATGGTGCTGTCTACTGTTAGTTTCTGCAGCTCCTGAGAATAGTCTCTACAATTAACGCAGTTCACTTTGAACAGCGTCTGATTGATCTGGTTTTTGACGTCCGTGACGTTGGCCTGGACCTGGTCTATGCTGGACTGCAGCTGGGCCAGAGACGAGTTCAAATTGTCCAGTTGAGCTTTAGTGTTCAAAACTCCTGTCCAGTCAAATAAAACACAAASGCATATTAAAACTAGTCCTTTTCAAAGCGATTTTTAAATATCTGGATGTTTCTAAACTGAACGTTCATTTTGAAAACCCTTCAGGTAAAGAAAAACAAGACGGATGTGAGGTTTTTGTCCTATGTAGGTCATCTTTGCTGTTGATTTTTTTTTCTAATGTTTAATATTTTAAATGTTGATTTATTGTAACAAAATAAACACTTCAGTGCAATACGGGCTTATTTTTTATTATTTAGAGATAACCGTGACCAGCTTGACTGCTAGATTTAAACAGAATTCCTTAAATTCTGATTATTATGATACGAACAATTATAAAAAATAAATCCCATGTCTCTCTCTATTCACAGGACAGACAGAGACAGGGAATTAATTGTTGGTAACTGTGTGGTAGGATGTAATGTAATTTATGTGAGTTTAATGTGTTCATCCTGCAGGTTTTTTTGTGATTTTTGTGCGACAGATGCCTTTTTATCCAAAGCAAATTTATCCCAAGAGAGATTATTAATAGATGTTCTTGCTTTTTAAGAAAAATATTTGATCTGCTCTTAAAGTCAACAAAAATATTCCCATAGCTCTAAGTCAGACCTAATTTACTTTGGGACTAGATGTGCAGGTTTTTTTTTTTTTTTTTTTGAGGACTGTCTAAAAACTTATTTCCTAAGAAAATAAAGAAAAAAAATCATAATTTTATTTTTTTTTTTATGCTTTTGAGATTTTCAATGCGAACCTGCAGGTTTTGCATTTTTCTTTTTTTCTATAATTATTCTGTGAGCAGATTTTGCCAAATAGAATAAATAAATAAACATTTCAAGACTTTAAAAAAAAAACACATTGAAAATACACAAAGCCCTTTTATGCGGCACACACCGACAGCATCAAATGCAAATTATGCGCTCTCAAATATTTACATCATTGCACTGGTGCAGGACGGTGCCAAACAGACAAACCATACCTTTGTCCAGACTCGTGATCGACTGCAGAGCCGGGTCAAAACTTCCTCTAAAGCGCTGCTGGATTTTTCCTCCCAACTGAGGTCCGATATCTGCAACGTGTAGGTAAATAAGAATAATGCTGTCAACCATGTCATAATGGAGGAAATAAAAAAAAAAGGTTTTCTTGTTTTATTGCCTGTTCTTACCATCTAGGTTCCTGGTAACCTCATCCACAGCTCTGAAGCTCTCGTTCACTACATCATTTACTTGCTAAAGAAAAGGGCAAGAGAAAAGTAAACTGTTACAGTTTGCTTAAAGTACGAGCTGAGAGAGTGCAATAACTCACGAGTTAATCCTGTTTTACAGGCAAACATACTGTAATCATTTTTCAAACTTTTTTTCACTCTCATCCTAAAATAAGCACATCGACAGTTAAGAAAGATGTGCTTATATCAGTGGACCGATGGGAGTTGCTTGTAATCTTACACACAGATGGGATGAAAACAGTGCAGAATTTTGCCAAATGTCAAACAAGCAACATTAATTATGGTTTAAAGTTGAAAGATTAAAAGCTGAGAAATCATTCCATTCTGACATTCAACTTGTGAACGTTTCCAGACTTCCAGTAAGAAAAACATTTCTCTTGCCTGAGGCACAGCTGTGAGGAAGGTGTGGATGTTGCTTATGGTGTTGTTGAGCTCCACGGGCCCCTTATCCACACTCGTCTTAAAAGCTGTGTTGCTTCTGAACATGCAGACATTACCGGCGCTGTCAAAGGGAGGAAAAAGGTGTCTATGTTAAAAAAAAAATCCTAATTTGCTTAATGCTCACACACTTGAACCAATGCAAATGCTCTCGGGCAGTAAGTCACACGCAGTCAATCGTTATAGTTTGAATAAATATATCAATATGTCAATCAAAATAAACAACACAAGCAGAGGTACTCACAAGATGATGATTGTGATCACAAGCACAGTGAGGTAAAGACTCCATCTGAGGCAGCAAGTGGAGGAGGTTTGCTTCTGGTACATCTTCCCACCACAGTTGCCACAGCAGCGACAGCAAGCCACGAAGAAACCAACGACGGGCATCAGGACGATGTACAGAATGCCGATGGCTACACACACCAGGAAACCCACCTGGTACACCAGAATCTGAGCACAAAACCCACACATCGGGGTTACAATTAAAATGGCATAAATGCTAAGATGGCAGTACACTTGTATCTTTGCATCTATTAATCAGAATGTCTTTTATTTGCAAACTACGTTACACATACAAGGAGTTTGACTTGGTGAGMGCACACTTCATAGACATGACATAAACACACAAAGTGGACACAAGAAAGAGATATTTAACATACACAACTAAARTGCTAACTAATGACAAATAAAATGAAATGTAGTAGAGACATCTACTGAAGAATGGGTAACTAAAAAGCAAAAATAGCTAAAGGCAAGCTAAAAGTATCAAAATGCTAGCTAATGCTAAAAATAAATGCTAGCTAATGCTAAAAATAAATGCTAGCTAATGCTAAAAATAAATGCTAGCTAAAGCTAAAAAATATGCTAGCTAAAGCTAAAAATATATGCTAGCTAAAGCTAAAAATATATGCTAGCTAATGCTAAGTGAAGCAAATGATAGCTTAGTTCCTCATGTCTAACTGTCCTGCATGTTTTAGTGGTTTCTCTGCTTCGACACACCCAACTGAAATGACAGAGTGATTATTAAACTTTTTTCTAGGTTTGATGACATTCTGAGTGGGTAATTCAAACATTTAAGTCACATGTGCCGAAGCAGGGAAACAACTTTATTTATTCAAACTCATTTTCATGCAGGCTATTACTAATAGCCTGCATGCGGGACAGTGAGTCAAAAGGAGCAGAAGTGAAGACGATAGTTTTAGTTTTTTAGATAACCTTCTGTTACTTTTAGCTATTAAAACAGTTAGCTAGAAGATAAAGTAACAAAAGACGAGCTAAAAATGTGCAGAACAATAGCTAAGGTATAAAAGGTTATCTGAAAAGGTAAAAGTAGCACAACAAGACACAGTAAGTCTAATGAAGCAGCTTAAAAAGACAAGATAATTGGGGAATGAACTCATCTCAATAAATTTCTATGGGGAAATTGTTTTAAATAAAAGTTTAATCTTTCGTAAAGCATGAAAGTTAGGCTACAAAAAAGAAACAAAGGTCATAGCTGAAACTTTATGAATAGCTAAAACAGCACAAAGTGCGCAGACAGATTGCAAACATTATACAAAATRCCAAAAAAGGGATTTTTGTTTTTGCTGAATGATTCAGCTTTCACACAATTATAGGGCACAAAGAGGTCTTCACAACGTCACTGAACTGAAAAATATCCACACAATGATGCTCTCAGATTTCCAGATTAAGGAGCTTAAAGTACAGTATTTCCTTTTTCTTCTGACGTGGTAGGTTTTTTCCCAACATCTAATAAATGAAACATATTTATACTCACTTCATTTACGAGGTCTTTGTTTGACACTACGTTGCCAGGACCTTGGACTATTTTCGAGAATATATCTAGACAGAAACAGGAGAGTGAGTTAGTTTGTGCTTTTGAAACTTTTTTAGAGGTCACTGCRTTTGTTTGAGAACTGTTTTAATGCCGTTCCATGCTGGTAGTCACAATGTTAATCATTTGTGCGAAACTAAAACTAAAAAAAAAAAAAAACCTCTGCTGATCTTGAGGACAAAATGTCCTTTCCCACATGGAACCTGTCATCATTTCGCATTGTCAAAAAGGAAATCTGACACCAACATCTTACAGTTACYAGGAAACCAGGACAGCCTTCTGATGAGATTACAATGAAAGCCAGCCATTTATTCTGCCTGTAAAACCTGCCATTATGGATTTTAGTCACACAAGAATACTAGGTAATGCTTTTCTCTCAGTCTGTGACGTCCAAAAACTGCTGCGTTTGTTTATTTCTAAATTAACTGGAAACCATCCTGTTAACTGGCAATGTTTACATGTGTTTGACACTTTGAATCAATATAAAAAGCTCAATTTAACATCAAAAGCTGTGTTTCTTAACGTCGATGACAAAAGGGCTAACAATGACTTTACAATGAGCATAAGATGGTCAAAGGTTATCGAGCGGGTTTTTGCATCTAGCTCTTCCCTAAAATCAACATAAACCAGAAGTTAAACCAGGAATAGACATGAGTTTATGGGGCATTTACAGCAAATCGTAACAGACAATAGAGCAAAGGTGTGGTCTTGCTGAGAGAACAGTTGGCCTAAAGGCCTAAAGGCACATAAAGGTTAATGACTGACCGAGCACAATACCAGAGTTCCCATTAACGTACCGGTTTATCATTTGAACTTGTTGTTTTGTTTCATGTTGCCCCAGGTTTGACCTTAATATTTGCACAGCTAGAAATCCACAAGTTTTCAATGTGGTTTTATTGCACCTGATTGCTCTGTGGGCCGGCAGCAGGAAAACCCACAAGCAAAAGGCTGTGACTGAAATCCGGTGGTGGGCAGCACTAGCCCTAAAGCACTAACTCAAATATTTAGGTCCCCTGATTCTAAAGCACTAACACACTGAAAGATTTAGCAAAAGCTAATGCTAAAGCACCAATATAATCCAGTAGAGACGTGGAACATTCTTCAGAGTCAACAAAAGACAATATTTACTGTGTGCAGAACGGCATCACTGCCCCTTTTCCACTAGTGCCATTTAGTGAAGTGTCAGTGTTGGAATGGGTCAGTTCAGGTGTTTTTCCATTGACGTTCCAGTCCGGTTCCAGTGGGTGTGTTTTGAGCAGTTGGTTGAGGTGGTTTTTGGGTTTTTCGGAAAAAAAAAAAAAAAAAAAAGGTTAATGCGCAGAGTGAGAGA